AGAGAGAGAAAGAGAGAGAGTAAGGGGGGGGGATTCGTAGGTTTGTAACCAGTCAGCTGTTTCTACAAAGCAACACTGCCATCTTTAAACATTCAACAGCCACATTCATCAAACACCACCCGTCACCAGGCGACATATTCCTGCTGGACTTCAGCTCATTAACATTCTGCACCAGGACACCTCATTAGCACCCAGAAAGTCAAAGGACCAGTGTGTAGGATTTAGTGAAGTTGCAGATTGCAACCATTTGAAAAGCCTACAAAGCGTGTAGGAGAAACTACGGTGGCTGTGAAACTAGCAAAAGAAAATTCAACCGATCCTCTCTGGAGACGGTGTTTGGTTTGTCTGTTCTGGGATAGTTTAGAAATGGTTTAACATCCATAGCAGAGGATCCGTTTCCTCTGTAGATATAAAACGCTCATTTGAAGGTTACAAAAACACAACTATTCCTATTTTACACAAATGGAAACATATTTTTATTTTATTTTTAGAATTGTGTTTTTTGCCGTTTTCAAATTATTAACGCTTTGGCAATAATTTCTTCTAACATTCATCCCATTAATAGCATATTAAATTGAAATTTTAAATTAAATTGAATTGAATAGTATATTCCATCTCTGCCATTATATCCTTCTAAATGTTACACACTGGACCAAAATCAAGTAACGTTAGTACAGCAGTCATCACGAAAGGCTACACACTGGTTCATATAAAGGATGTTAAAAAACTGTAAACTAGAGTGCCAATACATGACATGTTGTGCCTGGTGAAGATAAATAATGGACTTACAGGATAATTCTGGGTTATTAAAACTTGAGTCTTGTTTTCATAGTTTGGTCCATCATTTCTATCACTACTAATCATACTGTACTCAACCAAAGTAATGGGCTGAGATCTGGGAACACAATAACATCACGTCAACAAAGTCTGATGAGGCGAAAAATACACCAGTGGCGACACCTTTTGTTTTCTATCAAAACCGACGCTGGCAGCTTCTTAAAGGGGAACTGCAACAATTTTACACTCCAAAGTCTGTTTATATTGAATCTTTATCCTTGAAGAGTAACAGTTTTATCAGGTCATTCTTGGCTCTGTGGGGAGCTGTGTGACAGCTGATAAATTGCCTCAAGTGATTTATTTTAATCATTCATTGTACAGGAAAACTGTGTGCACACAACTACAGTAAAGTTGAAGCAGGAAGTGGAGCTGTAATGTGATGGATGTTTTCAAACTGCACTTTGGGTCATAATTTTACCGTTCACTTTCATTCTCTCTTTCAGGTCAGACAAGCTTATTTGGAGGTTTGTTTCTAACTGATCGTCAGACTGAATGTTTCTCGAACCGTCAGACTTCTTTTAGTTATGTCACCACGTTCCCAGATCTCAGCTATTAACTCCACGAGTGCAAAGAGTGAACTGACAGAAATTATGGACCAAACTATTAAAAAGTGAGACTAAAGTTTGTAATAAACAGAAACTATCCTTTTAAAAATGTTAGTTAAAACAAAGTTTGTTGATCTAGTCCTGCCAGGACTATTATTCTGAAAAGCTCTGGGGAAACAAAACCTGAGGAATAAGACAAATGTCTACTGTCACCATCAACAAAAGACTGACGGGGACAAAGAGCTTAAGACTGGGAGATGAGAGAAAAAAGAGGAGGGGAGGAAGAAGAGGGGTAACAGAGGAGGAGGAGGCTGCTCCGCCTCGCTGTCATCTTCAGATTTTCTGATTTGTGTTTCCTGGAGTTCTCACAGAGACAAACTAACAGCTGTTATTTATCAACTTAGGATGAAAAGAACGATGAAGTCACCTCAGCTGGAGGAGCTTTACTGTCAGTGTAACTAAATAAAAAAACATCAGCTTCTATGTTCATTCATCTATTAATTGACCTTCAATCCGCTGGAATCACACTTCAAATGTAATTATTGTGTTATTATTTTTTACTACTATTAGATTGTGTTTAGCACAAAGGTTGTTATCTGTCCTCTTTGTTAGGTAGCAGGACTGAAGATCTCATTCAGACTTTTGTGTGTCCTGAGTTAGCAAGTAAGCAGTGAGGACAGAGGCTGTGAACTAGAGGTGCTGAGTGGGTTACGGCTAGCAAATCCAGCCTGCCACAGTGTCCATAAGCAAGTCTGATGCTTCTCCTGCATTCATCTTAAATATTTAGGAAAGAAAATACATAAACAAAAAAAAAACTGTAGAGAAAACGTCAAGAAAATGAATACATCTGGATTTAAAGCTGAGCAAACACAAAAATAAAAAGGTTATAAAACAAACAGTACAGTCTTTGGTATTATTAAAAAAGAAGTATGTGTATGTGTGTGTGTG